TTTCGGTTAAACTAGTTTCGCAGCGAAGATTTGGGGAGATCTCGCTCGTTTCTGAACCCTTGTGAACGAGTTGCGATCGAGTTTCTGTCATGTTCGTAGCTTCGTGATAGAATCGCTCCATCTGTTTGGACTGAATTTTAATCGGTGCTCCAATGAATGAATTAATTCATATTAATTTGCCACTTGCTTCAATGTGAACTTGCGTTATATAAATGAAAAATCGTCAGCAGCGTGGGAAATCAATGGACTCGTACTACCATACTCGTTTCTGCAAACTCCAGACGACATGAATCATGCGTTCGACTGGTTACAAAGGCAATTTTACCGTGTAAAATATTTTGAAGTTTGACGAAGCTAACGTTGAGCAGCGAAATTTCGAAACCGTTTCGTTTAACACGCGTAACGTATATATATTCGTAAAACATACGAGATGTTCCACAGACTTGGCGGAAACGAAAAGTAGTTGCAGCAGTTGCACTAGGACATTTTGAAATTTGAGCGGCACAGGTGCGAGATCTGAGAGTTTTTCAGAGTCGAATTAGGGAGTTTCGGGTTTTCCTAAGAGAGTAAAGTTCGCTATTCAAGTCTAAGCTTCCTCCAGCTTTTATAAAAAATAGATTTCGTAAAAATGGAGCGCTGCTGCCACCTATTTTACGATTTTCCGTGATAACAACCACTTGCAGACGAATTTTCCACGTAGAGAATTTCGCTCGTAATCTTTGAATTAGCCACGCGCGGAGACACGTTCCTGTCCGTCTGCGGTAAGCTCCAAAGCGAAGTGAATCGAAGATTAGAATTAAACCGAGATTAAAATTTAATTGTCCGGAGCATTAAATGAATTTTAGAGAAAGATGCGTTTGAATTAGTCACACGCGAGGACACGTTTCCGTCTGCGGTGAGTTTTGAAATGAAGTGAGTTGAAGATTAGAATTAAACCGAGATTAAAACTTAATTGTCCGGACCATTAAACGAGTGAGAATTTTAGAGAAAGATCCTTTTGTTACGTCTTCGAGTTGTGCTCGAGGACACGTTTCTGTCTCTCTCTCTCTCTCTCTCTCTCTGCGGTGAATTTCGAAGTGACTCGAAGATTAGAATTAGACCGAGATTAAAATTTAATTTGACCATTAAGTAAGAATTTTAGAGAAAGATGCTGTAAAGCGCAGAAGATCGTACGTATCGTATTTAAATTGAATGGAATAAAATAAGATAGTGTAGGATGAATAATTCAAACAATGTCGATGCGATCGTTTATATATTAGGTTTCATAAACTGCTTTCTTGCAGCGTTAGGTTAGAATACAGCGATATACGTGTTGTCGGCTGTATTGTAAATTCATGTGCATAGAGTGAGAGCTACCAAACGTGATGGAAGGATGTCGTAGAGTAATATCCAACTGAATGTAAAGTCATGAATATTTATGAGGCTTATTAGACATCAATTGTTAATTGCTGATGATCTTCTTCAAGGAGAACTATCGTAATCAATAGTTTGTAATATGAATCAGAGGATAGGAGGGCATTGTAACAGATTTTAGTAATAAAATAAAATAAATAAAATAAAAAAAGAAGAAGACAATTAAAACATTAGAAGTACTTGCAAATTAATCTTTTAAATACTGCAAATACCTGACGACGTTCGATTTCACAGATATATTTTTCAGTCACTTGGGAGGGAAGTAACTTCAAGAAATTTACGAACGAAAACTCATCATTGTGTCTTTTTGAACCATCTGAGCTATTAAATTTACTTACTAAATTACTATAAACCGGCATTGTCTCGGCACATTCGTCTCGCGACTCCGCCAGTCACTGCCGAGAGGCAATAAGCTGAATGCAGAAAACGAAGAGAAAAACGGAAGAAGCAGAAAAGAAGGGGAAAAGAAAATGAAAAGGGGTGAGAGAATGGAAATGAAAAGTCTAATAAGGCGTGGCTGAGGGCGATCGTTCCTCTATGGGAGCAACGTGACAAAAGATCCCTTCTCTACGTTCCCTCCATTTTTCTATCCTCATCGTTTCCCGAGCGTCGCCTGTTTTCTTTTTCTGTTTTTCTTTCTCTCTCTCTCTCTTTCTCCCTCTTTCCCGCGCTTTCCACCCGCGGGAAATGACGGCGAGGCGGTCAAAGGCCTACGAACCAGTTCTCCGGTTTTTGCGAATCCGGGTCTCCTTGAAATTAAACGTGAGACGTTGCTTCAGCGCGGCGAGAAGACTTTCTGCCGAAAGATCCTCGACAGAGAATAAAGTTAGGAGAGAAAGAGTCTCAAACAGAATCTCTGGTGCGTGCCCTTAAACATTAATCGGTTATTCGTGAAATCTTACGGTAGGAGGGTCCCGTGAAACCCCTTTGGTTAAGCAAAGATTCGACTCGAGAATAAAATGAGAAGTCTGAAGGAATATTCTAGTCGTTTCGGGAAGAATCTGTGTGCGGTGCGTGCACGTAACTCTTAAACATTAACCCCGCGAATTTACTTTCCAAACGTTTCCACGTTTTCAGTTTGCAGATCATTAATTATTCTTCGTGACCGTGGGATCTTTGCCTTTGCAAAGGAAATTACGGAGAAAAGTAAAATTAGAAAGCGGTCGAATATTTTAGTTGCGTAGGAGAATGCAATCGGCGTGTATTTTCACTAAATGTTAATTCATTTAATTCGACTTACTTTCGACTCTGTAACATGCAACGAAAATCTCAAGTTTTATATAGAAGATTCTCCAAAGCAAAGACTCTCCGTCCAGAGGATCTTGACGAAAACATTGAGAATGAAATCAGAAATCCTGTTTCCTAATTCCACGGATCGTTCGGGAACATTGCGAACGGGATCTTGAAGAATTGTTCGAAGTTTCGAGTTAATCTCTTTAAGACGTTCGTCCTCCTTCGTATATGAATTTCTCCGGAGGGTTTCTAATTAAGCAGAGCTACGGCTGCAGCGCCTCGTCAAGGAAGATTTAAAACTCCCGCCCTCCCGTCATGTCCAACAAAGAGGCTCGCAATAAACGTCATCGTTCTTCTGCATGGAAGAAACGATACACAGGAGATAAATAAGCGAATGGAGACCACGGATCCGAATCACGGATCGTCCAGTCGTACCCCATTCGCCGAGTATGCATTTTCTTCGATCGAATGTCGGTGGCACACGTATCGAGGCGAAGAATCGTGTTCCTCCTGCAGGAACAATTCGTCGTCGTTCGTCGAGAATTTTCTCGAGGCTTCCACGGTGGAAGATCGAAACGAGACAGTGAGGTCGACTGGTTCCGGACGCGCGGAACGTATTCCAGCGAAGCGAGCTGGAAAACGCGAGACAACCGCCGCGAAGTTCTCGAAAGAACAGATCGTTCGGGGAATCACGCAGGGGTTTGCGAAATACTTGGATCTGATCGATTTCGTGGAAAAAGTAATTTCTCAACTTTCGGCAAATTTAATCGGGGAACGATTCGAGGGGAATTTTAAATTGCTTCGTTTCATGGTTAATTTGTTAGGGATTAAACTGTGGAGATTTTTGAAATTGAGTTCTAAGTGGATCAAGACTCTCTCTCCCTCACGGTCGGTGTGAGCGATGACGTATACTACAATCGGTACATCACATTGCAACATTTAAGAATATATATATTATTATATATATATTATATATATATATTATTTTTATAATAATTCTTAAATCTTGCAATGTGATATGTACATATATATTATTTTTACAATAATTCTTAAATCTTGCAATGTGATGTGTCTGTATATATATGAAAATATGAGCGTAATATAATTAAAAGTTCATCGTAAAAAGAGTTTGAATACGTTAATATATCTATACCTCTGACGTAACACGCAATACGTCTGTACCGCTGTGATTCTGATGCACGTAAAAACTACACAAACGTACTCGTTTAATAGTTCAGATACAAACAGCGAACGCACACTTGCTGAAACACGCGTGGAAACACGCGCAGATAATTCCTTTTAAAAATGTACGAGCCGGATCATCAACTGGAAACAACCACCCTGATTCAATATCTCTGCAAAGACAGAGCGAACGATGGAACCAGTCGATCGTTTGACCCGGCAAAGCGATAGTTCGCGAGAATGAAACTTTCTTTTTAATTATATCCTCGCTACTTTGACCCCTTTGATTTGTTCGCCGTGCCCTTCTTCGCGGATTTAATCTTCGTGGAACGACGATTCTCTTCGTTCGTTTCGATCCATCGCGCGCGCTCTTTAAAGTGGAGATCGTCGAAACCGATCGGAACTGAGAAGTAACAAACGATCATCCCTCCCGAGATTGGAAAAATCGGTGGTTTTCCTGCCAGCAAGGATGAAAGAGATAGAGAGAGAGAAAAAAAAATAAACAACAAGATCGCTGCGAAGAACTCTCGTCCTCGTTTCGGCGAACGGCGAGATAATTCGACTAATTGTCCGAGCGAATCCTTGATCGTGTCACTCGTAAATCATCCCTTTGATTGGCTCTTCTTCCAACTTTCAAGACAATCGACATCGCTTTCTCGTTGCGTAAATCCCTGCGTCGCGCGAATTACCACTCGACGCTTATGTTATTGAGCTCCGAAGGGAACTCGGAAGATTCGCGGGAAACCTCGTAGGATTCTTTTCTTCGATTTTTCCTTGGTTCGAATCGAAATTGAAGAACGTGTCTCTTTAAAACCCGGGGAATTCTATTAGCCTCTTGCTAACGTAATTGCGCGTTATAAATTACATCTACGGCCCTTTCAAATCAACGATTTCCACATCCCTTGACCTTCTCTCGTGAGATTACATTAACTTCTTTATCGTTCGTAACAGGAACCTTTGTAAAGATCCTTCGGGAGATCCATATAGGAAATGTTTTACAAAGTTGAAGAAATGAAAGAACAAACCGCCCGTAATATTCAATTGTTTTCCAATATTTTCTCCCTCTGTTAATTCTCATTTCATCAAAGTTAACTAACTTGTGGTATAGAAAAGCCATGCTTCGTTTTCTTTCTGTTTCGAACGTTTCTCTTGATTCCGTTTCTTGTTCACAGCCTCGGACCTGGACTGCATCAGGGCGCTGTTCAACGAGAAGGAGAAGGAGCTGTCTTTGGCGGTGGCGAAGGTCGAGGAGTTGACGCGGCAGCTGGAGGAGCTGCGAGGTCGGCAGAACGGGGCCGGGACCGGAAGCGGAGGTGGCGGCGCCGGAGGCGTCGGTGGCGGAGGCGTTGGCAGCGGCGGCGGTGGACATTTGTCGACGCCGGCCAGCGCCGAGCTGGAAAAACTGAGGAGGGAGCTTATGGTGAGCCAGCCCTTTCATACTCTCTCCCGCTCTCCCGATACTGCTGGCTTCCATTTGCAATAAATTCGGCTCTGCGTTCCGCGGATGCCTTCGCCGATCTAGAATTTTCGTAATTTCTTACGTGAACATGGTTAGGGGCTTGGAATTTGTAGAAAAATCTGAGAAAATTGGATAGAAGTCGAACCATTTCTCCCGGGCCTTTTTCTTTTTTAATCTTGGAATGGTTGAGCCAAGCTCCCGGGATTCGGGCTGAATTTTATTCTAAAAAATTGACACGTGTCCCTATTTTTTTTCTTCTTTTTTTTTTTTCCATCAACAGTACCGTAATAAGATGAACGAGCAGCAGAATCAGATGGTGTCACAGCAACGATTAGCCCTGACGCAACGACAAGCGGAAATGTCGTCGATAGACGCGAAGATAGCTCAGCTTCAGGGTCGTCTCCAGCGTAAGAGAGCCCTGAATCAACGGCTGAGCCAGCAGCTTGGCTCTGGGAACCGAACGAACGCGAACACCGGTTTCACGGAGTCGAAGCTGGACTTCAACGCCGGGGGGAAGTCGAGACCCGCTGGGAACATAGCCGCCATCGAACCGTACTCCCACATACCGAACGACAACGATTTCAATCTGAACAAGAACGACCCCAAGTACCAGACACTGCCTTACAATACGAAATTCACGGTGAACTTCAAAGCGGCAGAGGACGACGTCAACAAGAATAAGATTCAGCATTCGGCCAGCGCGTCTCAGCTGGGTCAGAGAGCGGCTTTTCAACAATTTGGTCATCAGATCGCTCACAGCCAGTCCCAGTCGCATATCCAAGGTTAGTAGTTTGGAGCAGACTTTTTCATTCAGAACAGGGAAGAACAGTTTTACTTGTACAGAGTTAGATTAATATTGTGATATCAATTGGTATTCTCTCAGGTCAGTCGCAATTGCTAGGCACGAATCAACAACAGCACAACCAGAACTTGGCTAACCAACCGGTGAACATGCAACAAATCTGCAACAACAACAACAACAATAACAACAACAACAACAACAATAGCAACATGAACAACAATTTGATCGGCACGTCCCACAATTTCAGTCCGGATGGTCTGTCACAGAATCTTCGGATCCATCAGCAGCAACAACAGTCGCAGACACAGCAGCAGCAACAACAGCAACAGCAACAGCAACAACAACAACAGCACGGGAATATTCAGCAGAAGCAACACAATATTGGTTCGTCAGCGTCGAACCTCGGCACGACGGTATCCATTACTCAAACTCAGAATCACAGGAACCTTCAAACGCATCAGAAACCAGTGTCCAGCGTGGCGCCAAGTTTCTCCGTCAAGTCTCAGATCTATCAGACTTCCTCTACGAAAATTCACCCTGTGATGCCGCAGACGTTGAGCCTGATTGGCCGTGGGCACAACAACGCCCAAAATTTTGTCGGTCTGAGCACTCAGAATACCAATCAACAACAGTCGAATCAATCTGTCCCCAGTAGCCAAACACCGAATCAGGATCAGACTTACACGTCGAGGCACAACTACCCCATGATCCAGCACTCCACACAAGCAAACACTCACGTCTCTTCGTCGTCGGTCTATCAGACGCAAAATTCTCCCAATCCTCCGTCGACTATTCACACGTCGTCCAGCGGGACCAGTTTCGGGAATTCGGTTCAGAGGTACAATCAGACTCAGCCACTGACCAGCCCTACATCCAGCAACGAGCAGAACGACAAGATGAAGTTCGAGCAAGGGAAAGGCCAAGAGAAGTTCGAACTCATGCTCCCGGTCAAACACGAGCAGCAGAGGTACGAACCGAATCAGGTGTTCAAGTACGATTCTCATCAGGTGAAGTACGACCAACATTCGAAGTACGATCAGCATCAGTCCACGAAACTGTACGAGCAGTCGAACAAGCACGAGCAAACCGGCAATCAGACGAGTAAGTACGACAACGTGTCGAAGATCGAGCAAGGAAAGTACGAACCTGTTCAGAATAAACACGAGCAAATTCACGGAACAAAGTACGACCCTAATCAGAATACTCAACAATACGGCAAGCACGATCAACACGAGGTCAGACCGTCGGTGGTCAAGTACGAGCACAATGCAGGCTTCAAGCACGAGTCGTCGAACAAATACGAGATCGGCGGTGGGCAACAGTTCAAGCAGGAGCCGGTCAAATTCGAGAACAGTCAGATTAAATTCGAACAGGGCTCCATGACGAAACACGATCACAACGGGAAGTTCGAAATGCCTGCGAAAACCGCGGAGAAGACGTTCGAGTTCGACAGGTTGAAGAACGAGAACGAGAGGAAGAGCACGGGCGAGGACAAGACGAAACCGGCGTTACCTCCGAAACCGAGCAAACCGAATCCTCCGCCACGGTTGACACATCACGAAAAGATCGACAATTCGAACGACGACTGCAAGAACAATTTGGGAATCAGTACGAGGTTCGTATATCACTTCGTCGTTTATTTTTGTAATTTCAATTTTTTCTCTTGTTTTTTTTTTTTTTTTTTTTTTTT